GCCGCCCCCCCGCCTCCAGCCCAGTTATGATCTGTGGGTGGGGAAGCCTGGAAGTATCCTGGCCCCACCCATTCCGTTTGAGGCCCCGCCCTTCCGGTTGGCTCATTCAACCCAGCTTCTACAGCTGTGTCCTACCGGGAGCTCTGGGTAATTACTCGGAGCGCTAATCTGCGCTCACACTCATCCTGCCACGGTTTCACTGCTCTGATATCTGGACTAGCCAGATGAAGGCGCGCTCCGGTGTACAGCTGTGTAAGATGCAATCACACCCGGTCGCTGTTGTTTGTGTGGTCTCGAGCAACTCACTTTACTCGGAACTTCCAGTATTCTCCCAATGGAAAAATGATCAAAGCCATTTAGCGAGTTAGGTGCTCGTCTCCCATTCAATTGAGTCCCTACAACCATTGAAAATCACTGAATGGGGGTGAAAAATGTACCCCGTAGACCCACAAGTGAGGCATAAAAAGACCAAAGCACAAGAAGGAGAAGGGAAGAAAAGCCAACCCCACGTGTCCTGAGCCGTTGGCTTTGCCTTCGGAGAGTGTTTTCCATCAGCCGAGCCGAACTCATGAGTCATGTGGGGTGAGACCTTCTCTGTACCGTGTGTGTTCCAACATTTTTTTTAACAGGGCCCCAGATGTGCATAAATGTGATGAACACCATTTTATTCCCCCGCATAGCTGTGTTTTTACAGACTTGAATGCACTGGCTAAAGAAGACAGCCTCCAGCTGAGCCGTAAGCGTGGGCTCCGCTTGCAGTGTGGAGGGTTACTTTAAAAACTGCTGTTGCAAGGCTGCCCAGCATCCTTTTAACAGGCCAGCTGAATTGCTGGGGCCGGTCAGTGAGCTCAGAGCAATCCGTGGAAGCTCAGGCTTTGATGGCACTTTAATTTCTCTAGCAAAGAAATGCCTTCATGCCTTTGCCAATACCCCAAATGCCCCGGATGGCATGCTGGGAAGCTTAAGTACTGTTTCCAAGCACTTGGAGATCTTTTCCAGCGCATCGATGGAAAACTGCACCTCCTTATGATGCTGTTTAGAGGCAGACGCTAAGGAATAAAGAGCTGCCGAGCGCAGGGCCCTGCTATGCTAGGTGCTGTACCAGCCCACAAAAAAAGCAATAGTCCCAGTCTCCAAGGATAGGCAAGCCAAAGAGGTCATGCAGCAGGGCTGTGAGTAGACTCTTGGTGCCCTGACTCCCACCCTAGTGTCCCACCCTCTAGGTTGGTCCAGGACTAGGGGCAAGTGAGCCGGGTAGTAGACTGCTGTGCTGTTGGCCACTTGGGGGCAGGGAGGGGCAAACAGATTTTGCACCTGCGGCAACAAAATGTCCAGGGTTGCTCTGATCAAAACTTCACAGCTCGCCTGGAGTCCCAAGCAGGATGCTTCAAAGGGAGGCATGAACCCAGCTGTACCCCACCCGATTAAGCGACAGTTACATCACGGAGCGAGCGATGTCATGAGCCACGTCCACATTTATAAGCTGGGCAGGCTGGGACGAAGGGGATTCAATCGCATGTTTCTGGGTGTAAGCTGAGCACTTGGGTCAGGAAGCAATGTCCTCCAACCCCCTCCGCTCCTGTGGCCAGATGGTGCATGGGGCAGGAGTCTGGATTTTGAGGGGCCACTGGTCTGATCTAGTTAGATCTCGTGTTTCTCTAGTGGTCAGGTCATGCCCTGCACCAGGGAAATTGATCGACCCTGGTGATTGTTCTCCATGCAGATGCCGCTGCAGCAGCTGCTCAGTTTCACAAGAGGCCCTAATCCTGTGTCCCTGCCTCTGCTCTCTTTGCTTTCCAGATTCCAAGGTGTTTCTGATCTACAATAGCAGGCTGCAGGGCTGCTTGGAGACCAAGGACGCCCTGGTGAGGATCTCCAAAGCCTGCAACGCCAGCGCCCCAGCCCAGAAGTGGAAATGGGTCTAAGGGCCTGAAACTACTGGGTTATTTGGCAGCATAGCCTAGTGGCTAGTGAACTGGGCCACCTACGAGTGCGACCGCGAGTCCGTCAACATGAGGTGGAACTGCCGGAACCTGGGGGAGCATCTCTCTCACTATCTGAATGCCAAGGCAGGGAACCTCTCGCTGGCGCCGGCCGAGAGAGGGGATCAGGCCCGCGGCGGGCAGTGGAGCATCTATAACACCCAGGAAGATTTGTGCTCCAACCCCTATTCTGGTAACACCTGGGGAGGGCTCTGGGCTTCTGCGTGGTCCCCATGGTCTCTGGTGGTTTCTGTGATCGGAGTAGAACCTACAGCAGGGCTGGGCAAAAGGGTCTCTGTGGCCGGATCTGGACCGCCAAGCGGGTTGATCCAGCCCGCAGAGGCCCTGCCAATCAGGGCTTGGAGGCGGGGGGGAAGCACGCGACGTTTCCTCCACCCTGTGCCTGCCCTGCAAGGAGTGCGCGGTGCTTAGAAGTGCCACATGCTCCAGGCAGTGAGTGAAGTCTCCTCCCACCGCCAGGGGCGTGGGCGCCTAGGGAGAACATCGGGGAGGGGGACTAAGGCGCTCCCCCACCTCCAGCCCAGTTATGATCTGTGGGTGGGGAAGCCTGGAAGTATCCTGGCCCCACCCATTCCGTTTGAGGCCCCGCCCTTCCGGTTGGCTCATTCAACCCAGCTTCTACAGCTGTGTCCACGCTGGCAACCTTACAGGGGCTCAGCTGTACTGCCACAGCTGCACCGCTGGAAGGTCTCCCATGTAGCCGTGGTACTGTCCACGCTGGCGCCTCTCTTGTGTACTGATGCCAGGTTTTTTCCCACCCCGGGCCACTGTTCCCTCTGATCTGTTCCATCCATGTGCGGAATACATTTTATGTGCCCCGTGGCGTGTGCAAATGTGCACCACCTGGAGAAATGCAAACCTAGCCACGGGCGCTCGGCTCCTCAGCTGGGCAGCACTGGAATCTCTCCCCCACGGCCGCACAAGCGCTCAGCTTCCAGGGAGGCCTGCCCCTGACTGACACACGTGCTAGTGTAGACGTGGTCGAGGGGCCTGGCTCTCTGCCAGTGTGGAGTGGGCGTGAATCAGGAGCAGCATTTTGCAGCAGCTTTGCGCTGCTGTTGTGACTCCCCCAGACGCCGGGCAATGGAGAGTCGGGCCAACCGGGTTCTGAAAGCTCAGACTAATGACGGAAGATCTGGGTTGGGGGGAATAATAAATCTAGGGCTGGCCGAGTCCATTCTGCGTACGTTGGGGGAAGAAGGGGCTGAGCCGGCGTTCAGTGCTGCACCCTCTGGCCCCGCTGTCCCGGCGGGCTCGGCAGGGCAGGCTCCCTCGGCTGCGGCCTCTCTCCCTCTTTCCCGCTGCAGAAATTTACACCATCCAGGGCAATTCCCACGGGAAGCCCTGCACCATCCCCTTCAAGTACGACAACCAGTGGTTCCACGGCTGCACCAGCACGGGGCGGGAGGACGGCCATCTCTGGTGCGCCACCACGCAGGATTACGGCAAGGATGAACGATGGGGCTTCTGCCCCATTAAGAGTGAGTGGCGGTTGGCCTGGCCGGAAGCTTAAACAATGGGGGAGGGAGGTGATGCCAGCTGGGCATTGCATGGGGCAGAGAGGATTGTGTCAGGGATACCAGCCGAGCACTGGTGAGGGGTTGGAAGCTGCAGACATGTGGGGGATACCAGCCTGGCTCTAGCTAGGGTGTGGGGGATACCAGCCTGGCTCTAGCTAGGGTGTGGGGGATACCAGCCTGGCTCTAGCTAGGGTGTGGGGGATACCAGCCTGGCTCTAGCTAGGGTGTGGGGGATACCAGCCTGGCTCTAGCTAGGGTGTGGGGGATACCAGCCTGGCTCTAGCTAGGGTGTGGGGGATACCAGCCTGGCTCTAGCTAGGGTGTGGGGGATACCAGCCTGGCTCTAGCTAGGGTGTGGGGGATACCAGCCTGGCTCTAGCTAGGGTGTGGGGGATACCAGCCTGGCTCTAGCTAGGGTGTGGGGGATACCAGCCTGGCTCTAGCTAGGGTGTGGGGGATACCAGCCTGGCTCTAGCTAGGGTGTGGGGGATACCAGCCTGGCTCTAGCTAGGGTGTGGGGGATACCAGCCTGGCTCTAGCTAGGGTGTGGGGGATACCAGCCTGGCTCTAGCTAGGGTGTGGGGGATACCAGCCTGGCTCTAGCTAGGGTGTGGGGGATACCAGCCTGGCTCTAGCTAGGGTGTGGGGGATACCAGCCTGGCTCTAGCTAGGGTGTGGGGGATACCAGCCTGGCTCTAGCTAGGGTGTGGGGGATACCAGCCTGGCTCTAGCTAGGGTGTGGGGGATACCAGCCTGGCTCTAGCTAGGGTGTGGGGGATACCAGCCTGGCTCTAGCTAGGGTGTGGGGGATACCAGCCTGGCTCTAGCTAGGGTGTGGGGGATACCAGCCTGGCTCTAGCTAGGGTGTGGGGGATACCAGCCTGGCTCTAGCTAGGGTGTGGGGGATACCAGCCTGGTATCTGGTGGGGCTCCATGCTGTAGACACAGGGCAATGCAGCTTTTCCTCTCAAAGACGCTTGACAGTGCTGACCGGGGAGGAAGCTATAAAGTCACCTCCCAGCACCAAGGCGAAGGCAGCAAACGCCCCAGCGTCCCTTATCCTCCAGCCACATGGCCTGGCATTTAATTCAGGGTGGGAGGGTGCTTTGCCGTTGGGTGCATCCCCAGCCCTTCTTTCAGCGCTTGCCTTGTTAGCGCCTGGGCCCTGAGGCCCTGGTGGACGTTCTCAGCATCTCCTCCATGGGCGACTCCAAGAGCAGCACGAGTGGAGAGAGCCAGGCCCCCGCCCCACGCTGGCTTCACCCTCTGCGGGCTGGGTTCTGCGATCCTTCCTCGGGCCGGCCCTGAACTCCCCATGTCCCTGGCGGGCAGAGGGAGGCCGGGCCGAGGAAGGTGCTGCCCAGGGTTACTCGTGTGCCGTAGTCCTGCCCTGGTCAGAAAAGGCCGGTTTTCTGCCTGCTACGCTGCATTTGCCGCGGTCCCCCGCCCCACGCTGGCTTCACCCTCTGCGGGCTGGGTTCTGCGATCCTTCCTCGGGCCGGCCCTGAACTCCCCATGTCCCTGGCGGGCAGAGGGAGGCCGGGCCGAGGAAGGTGCTGCCCAGGGTTACTCGTGTGCCGTAGTCCTGCCCTGGTCAGAAAAGGCCGGTTTTCTGCCTGCTACGCTGCATTTGCCGCGGTCTCACACCTGGCCAGAGGCTACCCCCGCCCGTCGGGGCTCCAGTGGGCGCGGCCTGCCTTTGGGGTATCCCTGAAAGGAAACTGCAGCCTCTGTAAGAAGCCTAACAGGGACTTTCTGTCTCCTGCTGGCTGTGCGGCGGCATCAGCGGTAACCCCCGGCTCTCCCTGCCCCGCAACCCCCCCTCCCCAGGCAATGACTGCGAGACCTTCTGGGACAAGGATCACCTGACCAACAGCTGCTACCAGTTCAACTTCCAGTCCACCCTGTCCTGGCGGGAGGCGTGGAGCAGCTGTGAGCAGCAAGGGGCCAACCTGCTGAGCATCACGGAGATCCACGAGCAGACCTACATCAACGGTGAGTGTGCCCAGCGCCAGCCTGGGGAGAGGGAGGCAATGACTGCGAGACCTTCTGGGACAAGGATCACCTGACCAACAGCTGCTACCAGTTCAACTTCCAGTCCACCCTGTCCTGGCGGGAGGCGTGGAGCAGCTGTGAGCAGCAAGGGGCCAACCTGCTGAGCATCACGGAGATCCACGAGCAGACCTACATCAACGGTGAGTGTGCCCAGCGCCAGCCTGGGGAGAGGGCCCTTGGATGGGGGCCCCGGTTCCCTGGGCAGGGGACACGGTACCACGGAGTGCCTGCACTTGGCCTCCAGCACGGCTTTTAGTCGAGCGTGGCCCCGGGGAGAGGTCTGAACGGGGGCAGCTGTCCTGCTCTCCTTTTCGCCTCTGCTCTGCTGCTTCTGAGCACCCCGGCTGCTTGGGACACGTCCACATACCCGCAGCAGGCGTGGCTGCACAGAGGTGCTCGGAGCTGTACAGCAAATCAGCCCCTTGCACGCCGGGCTGGAGTAGGTTTTTGTGAGTTCTCACTGCCCTGCGTGGGCGGAGCAGGCGCTGGGTGGGCGTGTGCCTGTTATCCCGATGGATCGGGGCTGGGAGGGGCCAGCTG